AGGAGCCCCCCATGGAAAGATGCTGGTCAATCCATTTGATCTGGGGGAAGCCCTCCAACTCAACAGGAGAAAGGCTAGCTGCACACCAGTGACTAGCCCAAGCTACCAGCAACCGAAGTCCAAAAACACTAACTAGAACAACTGTGAACAGCATGCTTGGAACTGGATAAGAATATTGACCTTCTCTCTTCTATTTTGTAACTGATTTCCTGGAAAAGATCCCCAAGAAGCAAAAAATCATCTGAAAGTGAGAAGGGAGGGGACCACACCCCCACCCTTCCATAGATGGAAGCGGCAATTTAATTTTTATGGGGGACGGAAATACATTGAAATGAATTTAATAATAATAGTATAGTAGATAAATCTGAAAATTATGAAAACTGTTAAGACTTTATATCTGAAAGAGTACTGATGAAATTACAAGAAAATAACTCTTTGCTTTAAAAGTTGGAAAATAAATAGCTACTGACATCTAGTGGAGGATTAGAGCATAGAACAACAGCTGCATTGACTCAGAAATTGGCAAGACACCCAGGAATAAAGAACAACTTGTTCCTTTGAACTGCAGTGGCTTTTTGCCAAATAGAGAACAGATGGGAACAGAGGAAAGAAAACACACCGGCCTACCTACAACAGAGTGAGAACTAATCCTCCTTCTGGGATTATAAATACTTACTGAGCTGTGATTTCTAAACTTAAGAATTGTTTGCAGAGAAAGAAAAACCTTGACTTTTGGCTAATCTTCTAGGGGGGAATTTACTGGAAAGCTCCTAGGTTGTTAAACATTCTGGTTAAAATTTGACTAGCTAATAATTGTAAGACCCCTGAATAGAAGAACTATTATAAAATACTGCTTTTAGCGATACTTTGAGAATTGGAAATACATTGGATTATAAAAACCATATATAAAGATAAGAACTATATAAGATTTGGTTGTCTGGACTTTAAGATTGGCTGGCTTGACAAGGCTAATTACAGAGACTATGGTACCAGTGAAAGACTATCTGTAGGGGGAAAATAAAATGGATGTTACATACCTATCTAAAAGTGGCAGAAAACCACACCTAATATCTCCTTCTGAAAGCCTTAGCCTAGAACATCAGAGATCTGCAGGAGCAATATTTCAAGACAAGGTAAATACTTTCCAGGAGGAAATGTATGCAGTGCTGCAACAGATTCAAATGACAATAGTTTCTAATCATGATGAGATTAAAAACAATTTTGACAACATAAATGAGCACATCTTTAACTTACACCTACAATTTAAAAACTCTCAGAAAACGACGACAAAGAATGAACAAACCAACCAGATAACGGAATACAAACTAGAGGACAGTGACCCAAAGAGAGAAGCTACAAATGAAGAGGACCACAGTCTAATACAAACAAAAGAAAACTTGCAAGATGTTCCAACAATGGAAATGGAAAAGATATCTTATTTTTCAGGACTTCAAAATAAACTTGAAGATAGGAAAGAAGATCTTACAAAACAGATTATAGAACAACCAGGAAAATTATCAGAGTTTGGGAAACAAAAACACACATGCTACCTAACTTCTCTTTTCTATTCCCAACAACATTCACAAAAATACAGGAAGAATCCCCTGGCAAACTGAACACACTGACTTGGAAAGCTACTTTGAAAAAGAAGAAGGCTAGAGTTAGATTCAAGAAATTTGATTTGACTTACCAGATGGAGTACTATATGATTAAACACTTGTTTGAATATGGTTAAAAGAATAGATAAATTATGGATATAAAGAGGCCCTACAATAAGAGGGATAAGATATATAAGTAGTATAGTATTCTTTATAATATATGAAATATAAAAATATTGGGATGGTATATGTGAATGAAAAATTTGGATATTGAGTGGTAATTAACATTGAGAAAATTATAACTGATAAGAATGGTTTGAAGTCAGAGGGGAAATTAAGCTTAAATAAGAATCTTGAAAACAGGATGAATATTGACTTAATAAGATGACTTTTATAAATAGAGAAATCTAAATTAAAGTTTCTCCAACATGTAGCAACAACAGTCTCTTCTTGAATGCCTCTTGGGCTCCTTAAACTTTCTACAGATGAATTGCTGTTGTTAGAAACTCTGTGTAACATTCAACATTTCCTAATTTAAACCAATTAGGTACTATCTGATATGATGAGAGAATGTATAATGATCTTGGTATTTAAAAAATGCTATTCATATTCCCCTTCTAATTCCCCAAGGCAAACTAAGGAATAATCATCAACTTACCCACCTTTTTGACTGACCTGGAAATAGAATAGAATAATACTAGAATAATAATAACTTTATTGTAATTTTGAATGTACACTAAACAGCATACATTACAATGAAATTTCTTTGCATACAGCTCCCAAAGGGTCACCACCTCCGATATACACTACATAAATATGACCAAAATAAATAAATAAATACAGAATTATGCATATACCCACATACATTATATATGACACAGAGAAACAACAGTCTAGTTCTGGTTATGCATACATGTTCATGGTGAGAAAAACTAATCTTGCGAGTTTACCAGATCGGTGGCATAGTGAACAAAGCTATTATTAGAATCAGGTAGTCCTGCTAGAAATATTTTGAAACCTTCTCCCAGAGGAGGATACTATTTCTTGAAATTTAGGACTGAATTGGCACTCTGGCCATGATAACCTATTAACTAAAAATCCATACCTTAACTGAAATGTTTTTATAGAGGGATGGAGATTAGACAAAAGTATATGCAATCTTAAACAAGAAATACCTAACATACTTTGCCATCTTAAGCTCATTCTCAATGTGGGAATTGGTTAAAAAAAATTGCAGAAGTAGAAAAAGTTGAAGAGACATTAAAAATATATCCACAAGTCTATTTCTGGAAAGGCACTTCACCATATGCTCCCGCACATGCTGCCTTCATAAAATGTAACTCCAATGAGTTATAAAACTCTGCTTATGGAGGGAGGGGGGGATGAGTGGAGCCATTACAAAACATTTACTACTTAAGCATGATTTTTTTTAAGTGGCTAGGTTATGCAGTAAAAACTCAGTCAAAAATAAAGGAAATCTGTCCCTTGGATGAATAATTTCATCTGGTAGTTCAGTAAACTGGACACAGCAAGTGGGAGCAGTTTTTATTTAACTACTCAGAGGCAGATATAGATGTAGATGTGGACATATAAAAAGAAACACTATAAAAAGTGCCATCTGAATGTGTTAGCATTTGCTAAAATGGTAACAGCACAGTGCTATTATAGTGCCTATTACTATTTTTCATTCTCTTGCATAGGTTGCATTTAATTGTGTGTACTTTTCAATGGGGGAGGTTGGGCTACTAAACTGGTAGGGCAGACCAATTGTATTTTGCTGAAGAACTGTCCTGTCTCAGGACCCACCTTCTCAGGTATGTGTTCAGTGTACACTCTTCCTACTCCCTAACAGAATCTGCAGAACTCAGAGGAGGAGGGTGCATTGGGGGTGTGGAGGGAGACTGAAATAGTTTCCTGGCTGAGACTCCTCTTCCTGACTACCCCTTTCTAGCTTCTACTTGTAGACAGTACAGGGAAGAAAGTTGTTTACTGCTTATTTAGAACAAAATTGATAGTGTTCACCCACCTTTTTCATATACAAATAGTCCTCATTTAGTGATTGATTCCTTTTCAAAAGTGATAAAAAATAAATTTACTACCAAACCTTTACATTTAGAGACTGTCACAGGTCTCTAAAGCAGTGCCCCCCCCAACCTTTTGGGCACCAGGGACCGGTTCCATGGAGAAAGGATTTTCTATGGACTGAAGGCTGTGTGGTTTTGCATGCTGTCTGCATCCCGCGGATGGGGCTTTGCTTGTTTGTGTGGACCCGTTGCTGGAATGCCAGGGACTGGTGTAGGTCCACGGACCAGGAGTTGGGGACCCCTGCTCTAAAGCAAAAGAAAGATGAAGCAAGATTTCACTTAGCAATCACTTTGCTCACCAAAGGAGATTCTAGTCATGGTTGATAAACAATGATTACCCATATGTGTTTGAATAAAAATAAGACCTTGAGCAAGTCACTCACTCTCAGCTCAATCCACCTCACAATTAGTTGCTGTGGAGAATATAGGAAGAGGAAAGAATATTATGTATGTTTGCTGTCTTGAGTTATTTATAAAACTAATGAATGAATGAATGAATGAATGGTTAGTTAGTTTCTATATGTAGTTTTATCTCATTTGGCTTCAGTGGTTTGATGTGAATATCATTTTCCAAAATGCAAAGCTAATGACTTAATTACCTTCTTAGGAATAGCTAAGTTTAAATTCTATGTTATAAAGCAGTATTGTAAAATTGGAAGTGGTTGGACAATATTTTCACCCCCAGCACCTATTACATTTATTATGTTACCATTTCTTAAGGAACAGGGATTGTTGATGATAGGAAGACAAGCTGTTTTCCACTAGTAATACATTTGGTTCTTTTTTTTGTTTTTAAATAAAAATTGACCTACATAATCCCTGAGTGAAAAATAAAAAGGCAACCGTAGGATAAATGGTAGCATTCTAAGGGATTCTATTTCTCTGACCTTTTTGCTTTATTTTTCGGCAGCAACAGCTCCGAAGCCGTTTTTAAAGCTATACATATCTGCATTTTACCGCCAATAACAAATGTTAATTTTGCCTGCTGCAGTGTGGCACCGCGCCTCTGCCAAGGCAGCAAAAGGTTTGCGGGCGCAGGATTAGCCTGTGATTGAACGAAGGACAAAGAAAAGGAGGACAGATCGGCCAAGGGAGCGAGACTTTACCTGAAAGTTCACCCGGGAATGCCGTTACAGAGATCCCTTTTCTAATCCACCCGGTTCCCTTCATCCCTTTAATTCCTGAATATATTTATCGGGAAGCTCGGAGGCCGCGAGGTGGCGCTCTACAACCAGGTTTGGAGTTCGTCTGAGCGGCGTCCTGTTCCATCCGGGTAAGACGCCTCCCCCGAACCCCCTCACATATCTAATCCCCGATCGTTTGGGCATTCCTGGGAAAAAAAGAAGAAGGCTTGGAAGCCCAGTTAATAAGGCATTGCTGCCTAGACAACTCTTGTGTCCTGAGGTTTTAAAGGGACAGACCTCCTGCCCTTCTCACCACTTGCCAGCTGTTGGCACTGCCCGGACCAAAAAGGAACTTCCAAGGCAGGGAACGGCCGCGCTGCTCCCTGCTTCCGCCCCTCCAGGAGTTGATAGCCCTCTTCCGCGGCTGCTGCTAACCCTTTATCTGGACGAAGGGGAGGGACCTCAGCAGAAGAGAAGCGGGTTTCTTTTTACTCATTTTTTTTTCCTCAAGGGGATGAAAGGAAAGCTGGACCTTTCTTTGAAAAGGAACTGGAATCCAAAGAGCGTCCTGCTTCGTTCCGGATGAAGTTTAGCCTGCCACCTGCGGGAGGTAGTGGTTGGCTTTTCCAAAGACATCCTGGGGAAACTGAGCAGAGGAATGAATCCCCAATGTGGGGAAAGGACGAGTGCGCGCGTTTGGCTAGCTGGGTGCTGGGCAGGAGGGCAGTTCTGTGTGCGTCTCTCTCTCTCTCTCTCTCTCTCTCTCTCAGTGTGTGTGTGTGTGGGGGGGGTTTGCTTGAGTTTACCCAGTGTGAGAAACAGTGACGGCTGCGAATGTGTCTGCAAGAGGGTGGGAAAAAGAAGGGGGGCATTATTGTCAATGGGCGGGTGGGGGGATTGAGGCGAATCTTGTTTCTTTATTCCCTCAGTTTAATCTCGCCTCATTTTTCCCCCAAGCAATACAACTTCGAGGACAGCAGCTTTGGCAAAGCCGACGCTCCTCCGCTATGGACTTTCCAGGTAACCAGCGCTTCCATCCTTCCGCTCGCTTGCTCTTTTGACTACTTGGAAAATCCGGCGGATTTCCTTACAAACTGAGAATGGGAGTGTGGAGGGGGGGGGGGAAGCAAGACTTCCTAGCAATGTGTCTTTTTGATAAAACTGTTGGAAGAAGAGCCGGAGAGGTGTATGTGTATGTGTGAGAGAGAAGCGGCAAGAGTCGAGGCGCCGAGATGTAACTTTTCAGAAGCATCCAGCCCAAACTTCTCAGGTGGGGCTATTCTGGTTCTGTACTATTCCCGCCTTGAGTTTATCGGGCGGATTTGCCGCAACCGACCGTAGAGAAGTCAGTGCTGGCGGGGAGTGAAAGCTGAGCGGGGTTCCTTGGAAAGGAAATTCGAGAAGGAAAGGCGGCTTGGATGCGCCGAATCAAGGTGAAGGGGAGGGGGAAAAAAATCTAACGGACTTCACACGCAGGGGACTTAATCTCGGCAAGAGGAGACAGATAGGCAGACAGACGCGGAAGTTTTAACTAATTTATCCAGTTCGATTGTTCAAAGCCTGGTGGAACCAAGTAACTCTTTACCGCGCGTGGCGCAGGAACGTCTCCTTTTTCCTCAGGGTTTATGAGAAATGTGAGAAATAGGGAACTAGTGTCTGAAAGGGAATTGCCGACAGTTGTATTTTTGGGTATGGGAGTGGCAGGGCGGCTTTCCCCATCATTTGGGGTTTTAAGGGTTTTAGGGTGTTTTTTTTTTTTTTTTTTTTTAGGATGGAGGCGTAGCTTAGTCTGACATACTGTATGCGTCCCTCGTGTTTTCGGCGAGGCTTAGTCCCAGCCCCACCAAGTCTAAATCAACCCTGGGGCTTCAAGCTATGCTTAGCACTTGTTCCATTTTGCAGATTTAGGGTGTAGCGAAGAAGCTTCTATCACAGAGAGAAATAGTCTTTTTGCTCACCGTCGCGGCGGAACCAAGAGAGAAGTGAGCGAAAAGCTGCAGGGTGAGCCTCATTCCCCACTCTCAACGCGCGCTCGTTTTCCCTCCGATAAAATATTTTTATGCTGACAATCGCATATATTATATGTATTATATATAAGTATTTTTTTAAAAAAATATTTATTTCTGTGGGAAATGAGGTACTGGACTAGATGGACGGTTGGTTTAGTCAAACGCAGCACGACTAGGACCCCTAAAACCCCAGCCTTTCGTCTGGTTCCCCTTTGTTCCTGAGGAAAGGGCCTCCTTATAAAGGACGCCTTTGCTTTGCTTCCTCGCACATGGGGAAGCTCCAAGACTCTGTCCCGTGAGGAAGAGGGTTGAGGGGGGGGGGAGAGAGAAGCGGGCTGGTGGGTCGCGTGGCTCCACGCTCCGCTTAGTTCTGACCGCCCTTTCTTCGCTCTCTTTCCTCCTGTAGGCTGCAACTGCTGCGCGCCTCCCACCTTCCTGTGAAGTCTCCAGTTTGCCCCGTCCGTCGCTGAGGGAGGAAGCGCACGCGAGAGCGCTGCGAGGGGCTCGTGCGGGTCCGCAGGCGGGGCCAAGCCAAGCAGAGCCACGGCTTACGCGCCCGCCCGGAAAGTAAAGGCAGCTTTCGTTCGCTGCCGCCCCGCCGCCCCCTTTGGACTCCGCGGTTGGTGACGGGCCCTGCAACACGATGCCCGGGCGGCGGTTGTGGTGGCGGCGGCGGGGGGCGCTGGCGGAACCCGCTGGCAGTTACTCCTGCATGGCGGCGGTGCTGGCCTTCTTGCTCTTCCTGCTGCCCACCAGTTGCCCGGCGGTGGGCGCACAGAATGACACCGAGCCCATCGTGCTGGAGGGCAAGTGTTTGGTGGTATGCGACTCTAGCCCGTCCGCCGACGGCGCCATTACTTCATCGCTGGGCATCTCCGTGCGCTCTGGCAGCGCCAAGGTGGCCTTCTCGGCCACGCGCAGCACCAATCACGAGCCGTCTGAGATGAGCAACCGCACCATGACCATCTACTTCGACCAGGTCAGGTGGCGCACCAGTCTTTTTTTTCTCCCCTCCCAACCTGGCTCTTGGTAAAGCCCCGCCCAGAATCAGTAACAAAGTCAAAGCCCCGCCCAGCTGCCCTCCTTACCTCCCTCCCCTTTAACTCAGTAAGCCTTCATCCCATCCAACCGCCAACCATTTTGTTCCTGCTCCCCCTTGTGTTAAGAAGAATTGGTCACACATTTCTGGTCCTTAGCTCCATCTTCATTCTCCTCCTGGCTGAATCCTTCCCCTTAGCATCTGTGACCACTGTTAATTCCCCAGTTCTGATTCCATCTCTATTCAAGTGTCCCATATTATCTGCACCAGCTACCTATAGTCTTACTTTGTATTCTCTGCCCACATTCCAATTAAACCCTCCTCCATGTGTGTCCTCTCTGCTAATGTATTTTATTTCACCAGAGTTCTTTGTCAGGTTCAAGCTTGCTTCAGGAATCTTAAGAAAATCCGCTACAATAATTCACAGCCGGCATCTTGGCAGCACTTGTTTCTCATCAACTTCTTGGATGAGAATCATGATTTTATGAATTTCCTTTTAGTGTCCACCAATAAATACCGCCAAGGCCACCTTTCTCATTTTATTGGAACAAGCATGACTTCAATGCATGTGTCCTTTTCTAAGACATAGCTACATCTCATTTCTCCAAATTGGTGACTCTGAGACATCCTTCTATAAACTGGACAGGGAGGATAGTCTAGAAATCTACACAACATGCCAAGTGGGGACAAGCTGAAAAATTTAATAAGGAAATCTTTAAAGAACCTATTGGGTTCTTGTCAGTCCAGACATATAAAAAGAAGGATGCACTGGGATTTTTAAATTAACTATTTATTAAATCTTTGTATGGATACATATGTACACCTAATTGCTTAAGTAGATTAAAATAATTTTATATGCATTGTGTGTACTATGGTTGCATTTTATCTAACTCCTCAATGAAAAATAGCTTCTTCAAACCCGTAGGAATTTTATGTTAAATATATTTTGTAATATATTTAACATAAAATATAATATAAAAACAGAAAATAAAAAATTATGGCAGCATAAATGGCAGAGTTTTAATATTAGCAGAATTATTCTGAGTCTTCTGTGATACACAAAGGCAAATAAATATGTCAGTTATTCTAGAAATGCTTTATGTCTACCATTTTGTCATATTCATATCTTCAACTCGTAAAACATCTTAAAACAAAATACTGAATTTATAGTTTCATAATTGTTGATTTTGTATGTACACATAAATTGCAAAAATTGCTAGTTTATGTTTAGAAGATCAAGCTGGAATCCTATATCTAAGAAAATAAAGTCCAGTTTATCCAGTCACACAACAGAAATTTTTTACATGTGTGCCCAGAAGGACATTAATTCTTTAGAAGTTAATTCTATTTAAAAGGGCACAGAACTGCAGATGTCTGAGAAGTAAAAAAAAAGAAGTTTTGATTTCTGTTTGTTTTGTAACATGAAACCTGTTTTAAAACAGATGAAGATAAGCTTGGAAATTCACAACCAGATAAAACAAATGAACAGTGACTGTATTAGGATCCTCCCATTTGGAAGCCTACCTATTCAAAAAATAAGACCCCAGAAAAAGTGTTAGCAAATAGTTATGTATGAATATGGATTATAGAGAAGATTAAAGATCTGATTCTATAAATAACTAATTGTATGAAGAACTTTAAACATTTGTTCTGGAATGTTCATTAGATTCTCAAGAGTCTGTAGCTTTCTTTCTCATATTTTTATGTAATCTGCATAAATTTAAGAAACCAGACTGCACTGTGCATTATATTCCTTAACTTAAAAAACTGTTCACTCTTTCTGCTTTTCTGATACTGATGATGCTTTGAAACATTTATAACTTGGCATCAGGTATCATTTTACATTATTACAATTGGCAATTGGCATTTTCTTTACCACTAAGTCCATGTTCAAAGTCTCTGTGGGTTAAAATAGATACATCCTCCTTATTTGTTCAAGCTTTGTTGAATAAGTTTTGTTTTAGGATGGGTGTCGGAGCAGAAAAAAAAATAAAGAATGCAGATTAAGAACGCTACTTACCTTAATACCTTAATAACTCCCTTCTCCACATTTCATCCCATGCAACATGACTAAGCCTGTTTCATTTCACATTAACACTGCAAGCCCCAAGAGACACAATTAGTTTCAATGCTGTCATGTGAAAATGTAAACTCTAGTGGCTTGTTCAATGGAATATTTTCCTTCTTTGTGTATGTCTCAGCAATGATTTGATCTGCTTTCTCCTTCATTGTAGAGACATAGGCTGCCATCATATGCTTTTCATGCTCTCAAAGAAGCTTTGGGTGCACCACGGGGTAAATCAATCAGCTGTCTGAACCGATCCTTTTACAACACCTTAGGAACTGGCTCCTTTCCCCTGCAGTCCATTTTAATTGTACAGCAAATGCCAGTGGTTTTGCACTGCTGGGAGAGCGGGGGGGGGGGGTTGTCTGAGAAATGTCTTTCCTCCATCCCACTCTCTATTTAATGAAGGAACAACCTGATTTCTTTTCTTTTATCCTCCAGGTATTAGTTAATATTGGGAACCATTTTGACCTCGCTTCCAGTATATTTGTAGCACCAAGAAAAGGAATCTATAGCTTCAGTTTCCATGTTGTGAAAGTATATAACCGACAAACTATCCAGGTATGTGCCAACGTTAGGAGTTCCTTCTTAGAGCAGTTATTTCATTTCACAAAATCATTCATACAAAAAGCTCATTAAATAAAGCAACGAGGAATGGACCCATGCACTAAATGATTTATTAGTCTACTGTTTAGCAGTGTTATGAAATGGGCTTATTTGCCTTAGTAAGGGGTATGATTTTTCATTCCTGGTCAGTCTCCTTTGACTGAACTAACTGAGCATGGACAGCCTGATCTGGGAATTTGTAGATCATCTGAAACCTTTTCAGTATCATCCTATATGTTCTATCCTACTTGTCGCCTACTCATTATTTTGGGTTTCTTGCATGTGGAGAAACTGACTTCCCTTTGGTTATAATGTACTATGTGAATGCGTGTTTGTATGATATATTGGAGTATAACTAAACTTTTAGATAAATCTCATGAGACCACTTAGCTCATTTTTTTTTGTACTGCAGGTCAGTTTAATGCAAAATGGCTATCCTGTGATTTCTGCTTTTGCTGGAGATCAAGACGTTACCAGGGAAGCAGCCAGCAATGGAGTCCTGCTCCTTATGGAAAGAGAAGACAAAGTCCATCTCAAGCTGGAGAGAGGAAATCTCATGGGTGGATGGAAATATTCAACCTTTTCAGGGTTCTTAGTCTTTCCATTATAAAGAAAAAAAAAAGGTGAATCCTAACCTGCAAGCTGGAACAGAAATTCAGTCCTCAAATGACAACAACAAATCCCAAGAAGCTTCTGCATCCTCCTAGAACTGGGCTAGACCTGCCAATAATTCCAAATACCCCATCAGACTGCCATCACCGAAGAAGGGGAAAACTTCTTGATGCCATTCTTTGTGTTAACTCTTGACAGTTCCTTGAGAAATCTGCAGATCTGATTAGTTTTAGATAACAGTCATCCTTAAGAAAAAAAGAAGTTACCAACCTGAGCAATTTGTACCTGTGATTGTAAAGTCAATTTTGGATTTTATTGTTGGGATTTCATTTTCTTTTTTCCCTTTCTTCCTCTTCTTGTCTTGAAAGGATACATTAATTGGGACCGCAGAAGTGTTTGTAATGGACTTATCCAAAGCCAGAAGACCCTGATCTCTGATGACATGTTCCTATATGTTTTCTCTTTTTGTGTTTGCATAGCCTTAAAAAAAGAACAAACGAAGCACCAAGATAAAAAAATAAGAATTTTTCAATTATTCAAACTTCAAACCTGTATCTTCTGGGGAGGTTAACTTTTGGACATTACTGTGTCAAGAAGTGCTTTATTCAGTGAAGCAAATTTTGCACGATTGGAACCTATTTTATTTTGTGTTACTTGTGTTTTCCATCATCTTTCTTTCCATTTGCTGACTGTTCTTGTGCTAAAGAAGAAAGGCAATTTGACCCATATGATAAAGCAAGCACATGTATACTCTGAGGCTTGCAGTGAAACTAACCAATGAACGATGTTGCTTGTGTTATCCAGCTGATTTAATAGAAGCATTTGTTGGCACAGTGGAAGACAATACAGCCTGAGCTGGAAAGGCAACGACTGATATTTCATACATTACCTGAATCAGAAGTTGTCAATATCTCAAGCAAACATGCTGTAAAATATAATATCATTTATTTGCAACACTGGGCATCTTTTGCTGCTTTCCTGATATTTATTTGATGGATTAATTTACTTATGTTTATATATGCTGTGATTTGGCCTCTCTGAGTGTTCCCACAAGTTATCTTCCCTCCAGGTTAAGTAAAAACAGATTCACACCAAATTTGCTAGGACCAGACCGTTTGTGTGGCAGAATCAAGGACACCGAAATCCTTTGAAAGGTTACAAAGATTATGTCGTTCAGCTATAAATATACCATAATTTGTATATCTTTTTCTTTGATTTTTGTTGAAATTTCCCCAATTAACTTCCAAAGACTTTTGAGTAGTCTTAATCCAATACTGTATACAAAAAGGTTACTGATTTAAAATAATAAAAAGAAGAAACCTCAGGTTGAGTTAAAATTCACCTTCTATGTGTCAATGTAACCAAAATGCTGATGAACTTTAGATTCAGAATAAATGGGTTTCATGTCCAACTTGCCTTCTTTTTACTTATATGTAAGTGTCAAAGGTAACACAGAGAAAATTGCATTTTGGTCTGAAAAAAAAAAGGAGAAAATAATGAGAATTTGGAGGAGGGGGTTATTTGCTTTTAATGACCGATCTGTTTTTAAAATTCATATTTCAAATATGTCTTTGAGGAGCTAGGTAGACTGGGATTTTATTTCATTTTTTCTTTTGATAGGTTCTTGCTTCTCTTCTCAAGGTATTAAAATGGTGCAAATGTTTGCAGAACTCGAGAACGAAATATACTGCATTGCATACAGACATATTTTTTATTCGAAATTTGTCATTGATGGGTTATTACTTATTAGAATAATTATTAGCGGCATATCAGTGTACTTTGAAATATTTTTCTAAAAAGAGAATTCTAAAAAAAGAGATTGTGTTTTTCTCTTTGTTTATGTTGACTCTGTTTCATACATTGTGGATTTTAAAAATCCAACCAAATAACTGGTTTTTGCATTTGAGTTGTTTCTAACTTAAATTCTGTATAGATTTTTTTTAACCACTTCCAGAAATTTTAACAGGGTCATGTGGAAAATTCCCATCCATATATTCTTAGACATAGGGTTATAGGTTTTTTTTTTAAATTCTTGCTGTATTGTAATCTATGAATATAGATTTTAGTGTTAAATGTGATATAATATTATATAACTCTTAAACAATGGCAAATCTGCACACTTATTTCATTTTTTTACATTGCAAATATATTTCATTTCAAATTTTATTACTTTATGGCATATTATTGAATGCTTCAGTTGAAGTATAAATAGCAGATGTGAAAAACCAGGTAGGTTGCTGGATTAGATTGCTTAGCACACCTGGCATTGCCCTGATATAAGTCCAACATCTGGAAGGCTGTAGATTTTCCATACCAATATACAGTTTGAACAGATTTTAATATATTTGCATAATTCCCCTTACCTGTGTTACTGCATGAATTCATAAACACTGATTGCAGAAAGAGGAAAGCCAGTTTTCTGTTATTTGCTATGCATTATCTTATTCTAGTGTTCTGATACAACACAAAAAAGAATTATGAGCTAATTCCAGGTTTAATAATATTTAATTTGCTGTTTGTCAGATAGTATTTATACAACCATGATATCAAATTACATATGTGTTTCTAAGATATGAAAGAGAAAGGAAATGCAAAAAAGAAAAAAGGAAAAGAAAGGAAAAGGAAAGAGAAGGGAAAGGAAAGTGTGTAAACCTATGCAAAATATGTATATTTAAAAGGGGCAGTAGAGAATTATTAATGTTTCAGTTCTGATTTGGTAATGACAGTAACTAATTGATACTCAAAATTCAATTATAAGTTTGGATGAGCACAGTTTAAATAGGATTTGTGATGCTGTAGTTTCTGCAATAATAAATTTGGTTACAGCTGCTATTGGATTGACTTCTAACCACAAAATACTGCAAGGTTTTAGGAGAGTCAGAATTTTAAAAATTAGACCAAAATAATTTAAATACTGAGAAGGAAAATGTTGCTTTTAGAGCATTTTTAAAAATCTTATTGGTGATTTTCAGAATTCTAAATTGTAATATAATAAAATTGATTATTTCAATATAATATTTTGCATTAACATCATATTCAATGAATAATGCAGGAATTTAACTCAGCAATCTATCTGTAAAAAGCCTGAAGCTGGATGTGAATGATGGGAATAATAATTCAATATATGTAGCACCTCATTTTCTAGAATAAAAAGTAAAGACTACAAAGAGCATTGTTGATGTTCTTCAAAATGTGCAATATGCAAATAGCAGCTGTTTCAGGGATGTAGCATATATGTAGATTTTTCTAGAATTGAGCCAATTTATTTAAGCTGAAACTTCAAAGACAAGATTAGAGACCCAAGCATTTCAGCTGTAGATTTTTTTTAATATAAAAATGTAATTATTTTATTTCAGTATTATTTTTTTAGCCTATTTTATTGTCATAGTGTTAAACCCAGCAAGGATGAATTGTATACATTATGTAACAAGGATATTAAAAATAATAGAAGTCACTGATTATTTATTGTTATAGGACGTATTGCAGGACTAGAATCAAAAATACTTATGGACTAGAGTAAAAAGCTTAATTACTGGACTAAATGTATACATGCATTATATCCAGAAAAACTGAATTGGAATTTGAGAAGTTTTGAGAATGATCACAGAGATTTTTTTAAAAAAGAAAATAACTACTTTTTGCTGTCTTTTTAAAGTTCATTTTTATATGCCAAAGCACTTAATATATAACCATTGGTCCCAATTATTATCAATCCACCAATAACTTGAAACTATCTAGATTAGAGACCTCTAGTTCCATGTTATGCACAATTTGGCCACCTTACTTAATTCCTGTTATTTTTTAAAACAAAATTAAATATAAGAGATTAAGGTACCATAAAATAGCATATGGTGTTGTAAAAACATATAACTAACAAAAGGAAATATTGAAAATTCAGAGGGATCTGTGGGTAACAAATCTTACTGTGGGATCTTAAGAATGATTACATAGTAACTAGGCTGCTGAATATAATGGGACTTCTAAGCAACTAACTTAGACTTCTAATCTGAGGCAATTGTGTCCTTGTGTTTGCTCTGCCTATAACCGTTATAAAAATAGATAGTGCGTATATGTTACTACATTATGAATTTTCTTGCTTCTGTGGCAGTTTCTAAACGGATGCATGTGAGATTAGTAATCTGAAGGAAATAATTACTGTATTCTGTATTAATAAATATTGCAGGGAGGAAAAAAACCCATGTACAGGCGATCCACTAGGCACTCATTATTTCTAAAAAAGATATTAATATTAAATTTCTCACTCTTCAGAGAGAAGAATTTAACATTTGTTATGCAGATTTCTATAGCTTTAAGGATTTTCTATTAGGTAAAAAAACAAAGGAAAACAAGAAAGAAAGAAAAATAACTTGTGGCTAAAAACTGCCCTCTTAATTTCCTAAATTTTCTTCCTCTGCAAAAGAGGCTTTTCTCTTTGCACTTTGTTCTTAGAATGGCTCCTAATTTCTTTTCTTTTGTTTTGTTTATTGCTGCGTGGTGATGATAATATTTTATCCCTCCTCCACTCCATTTTTCTTACATATAACTCCATTTTTTAGCTTTCTTGCTGCTCTGGTTTTCTCATCTGAAAAAGCTCCAAAGGAAAACCAGTCTTTTCTTGGTATCTTCTTTCAGGCTTTGGTTGAAGCTCAGGATGATAGGGAGGCTGCAGCTTATGAAGCAATGGAGGCTGTGAAATACAGAGCAACGCTCCCTTCAATGGAATCAAGCTAAATTTATGAAACTGTACACTACATTTTATATATATGTATGTATGTATGCATGCATGCATGCATGCATGCATGTATGTATGTATGTATGTATATATGTATGTATATTCTGTTTATGGTATTGGAAGCTGACCAGAGTCACTTGCTAGTGAGATGAGTGGGATACAAATTTAATAAATAAATAACCCAATAAAGTTAGTGGTATGTAAGTGCTTGCTTAAAAAATATTGATCCATGGAGCATAGAAAGTGAGCCTAAGGATTAAACAACATCTAAAATTCATTTATTTATTAATCAAATTTTTATGCTGCTCATCTTATCTGCCTGTGACATTTTGTTCCATGTATCTGGAAAACACTAGGTTGGAAAAGGTGACAGGATAACACAAAACATAATCTAATTTACTCAACTAATGGCTGTTCACTGCAGCATTTATTTTGCTCTTTATTTACAAATAAAACCCATGAAACATATCATGAAACTTAATTTACACGATAGCCTAATCTGGATCAAGACTGTTGTGCTTGAGCACTTAATCCTCTACCATACTTGTTTTTAAAAATAAAATGCTTCTCACTGGCACAAAGTTATAATAATATCCTTTCTTGGATATCACTGCCTGATATGTGACCTTTTTACATTGCATAAGGCAGATTGTTTAAACATGGCGTGTTGGATAAAACAACATTTGTTGTGTTCAGACAATTTAGGCTACTGTGAACACATCTTGAATTTAAGACAGTTCCAAATAGAATGATTGGACAGAAAAAAAATCATTTATCTTAACATATTCCCAACAAACTACCATCAGCTCTTCACAAATAGTTTATTTGAATAATAATTTAATCTGTGTTTATAAATTAAAATGTCATTGTTTATAAATCATAATACAGGACTTATACATAGTTGCTGTGGCTTAACAGGTATGAACCTAAATTTTACATAGTGTAAAATTGTCTCTAATTTTGAGTTTTATTCAAAGCTCCAGAACTGGGTTGCTTGAAACGGTAAAGAATGAGCAAGATCTGATGATTGATTGAAGCAAAGCTCCATTGTGTACTTCTATCTTTGTATTCTGCAGGTGTGATCTCTGATTGCAGTAAGATAAAAGGAATTACAGAAGAGAAATATTTGCAATGATAAATATTTATCTATCAAAGCACCCAATTCAAAAAATTTAACATGGCAAATTTCTGAACTGACTGATGAATTAGCCACAATAGTGTCTCTAGTTTCCTTTAGGTTAGAGGAATTCAAGTGCCCTGGCATATATCTGCAACAAATTGTTTATAATGGGAAAATGTTACTTTTTATGGAACAAAACATTTTTTCCAATATAAAACCAAATTCAGAATAAATAATATTCCAGTATAAATAAGCACTATACTTATTTTTTTGGTTCAGCCAATGAAATGCATTTATTACTTGCATGTAAGAAAATGTGCCAAATAATAGATTTTAAATTCAAAATGTCATATAAAAATTCATAAATAATATTTGGAAATATATTTTTGTTTAGGCTATTAATTAACAACCAATTAATGCCACTTTAAATAAATGGATATTATGGCTGCCATTTTCCAGCTTGAAATTCCTTTCTTTTAATTTACCTTTAAAAGAAAGTAGAGGCAAAGTGGACCCACTTATTCCACTAAGGTACATGATTGCATTTTTTTTTTAAAAAAAAAC